GCTCAGTCAACAAACCATAATGAATTATTCTGTGAGGCGATCTAGATCACTCGATCTTAGTTTTATCCCAAGGTTTGTCCTAACTCTTTAAAAAATGAAACAGAACCAAGATTTTGCAAGCGAGAAGCGCAGATACTTGGAAAAAACCCAAATGATAGTGCGAACCTACAGTAACCATCCGCCACAAGGCTATGGATGACAGAATGCTTCCATGTAAGCTGATGACTGTTTTTATTTAGTATATGTCAAAACAACCATACAGTAGAAATGGATGACTGAATCGTGGAAAAATTTACCGCAGCGATCTGTTTGTTTTTAACACAAAACTGGTAGAGACTGCTGAATGTGGGACTTCTTCCCTTCTATCTTGATCTCAAAATAGGTTAAGTGAGCCTGATACCTTACAGTTTGCTGCTGAGAAGTGAAAATACACCATTCAGCATAATATCCAATTGTATTAGCATTTTCGTTGAAAGATTTTGGTGAGTTTCAGGATTTTTGATTAAAACAGGTAATATTTATCTTAGCAAGTTGTGTAATATTTTCAAGGAAGTGTTTGTTTTTGTCTCTTTTGCCATATTTTCTTTATGATTCTTTGGTTATTTCTGAAAGTTCGTGAAGTCGTCGTGAACTCTAATCTTAAAACAAATCCGTGCGAGATGGGTGGAGATACAAAACAAAAGCGGTATCAAATTCCGTGATACTGAGAAGCTATAGGAAATGAGCGTGCAAGATTCTTTATGCTCCATTAGAAAATGCCAAAACAGGTCACATAAGTTTGGATATGGGAATTTGCAGTTCTTAGCCACTGCTCGAATTCTAGGATGTTTAAAGTCTTAGTTCACCGTGGTGTTTTTTTACGGCTATAATTCCAGGGAGAGCTACTTAGGACGGTGGTCACGCGAAACTACACCAATAGACTCCCAGGAACGATACGAGCGTAATATTCGACGTTCTTATACGCCGGTACGTGAAATTGCCGGTTACAAGGTAATTTTGCTGCGGTATGTGTAATAGTGGATAGTACTCTCGTAGCATCATTTAATAAGTAGTGGTATGTACAAGGAGAGCAGGTGCGACGCAAAACTGATCTGATCATTGGTAGATGTTAAGAATTTTAGGTTTTATGGCCTATAGGTGTTTGATTCAAGTCCAAAGTACAAAGGTTACAAAGCATAATCAAGCTTGTTCGAGTTCATGAAAGGATTTTAGACCTCCTACTCACTTTATTAGCTTGGCATTTGAACGGTTATTGGTTCATCACAGAATCATATTCGGAATGTAAACGGTAGTCATGCCATTTGCTTTCTTTATTTCATGGTTGTTTTGACCACTGATGTCTTTTCTGATGGTCAACCTTCTGGGTTTTCTGAATTTCCCTTCGTCTTATGAAGAAGTTACCGGTGCAATGGTTGTTTTAGCAGAAGCACTTTGACAAAGTTTTGTCCACTTTGAGGTTCAGTGGATGCACTGAACTTTATCACCTCGTCTCCAAGTGTTCCCGCTCCCCGTTTCAGAGTTCTTCTCGAACAAAATCTCCTGGGAAGGTGACAGTCACAAAAAAGCATCAGAATTAGCCGGCATGTTTGAATTAGTTGAGTTCTACGTATGGCCGTCCTTCACTGCTGAAAGCTTTTTCGGACGGTGGCTTGAGCCAGTGATACTTGAATACAGGGTACTTTTATCAGCTTTGCCGTTGGTCAGCGGTCATTTATTTTGCGTCGTATTGTTTACACTGATTTGAGGTGATCCAGGACGACCGACTGCCACTGAATCCGTACAGGGCACGCACTCCCCTCGGCTTCATCACTACGCCATATCATACCAATATCAATTACTATCAGGAGCAACTACCCATACGAAAATACGATGTTTTCAGCGTGAGGACATGGGCCTATCCTATCTATAAGTTTGTTTTCATGATTATCTTCTCAACCAGTACCGAAAATTATTACTGCGAAACAGGTTTAAATATGTTTGGTGTTTAATTCTAGAATGAGTGATACTCGGAGGTACGGAAGACTAGGAGCTGAAGCATTCAGAAGTTAGTTTTAAACCTTGTACTATACTCTAAGCGGCGACTGTGGATTTATTTTCAGTGTTATATTTATTTGATCCTTTAAAGAACGTTCTACAAAGCCAAGATCCGTCATGATGGAACAGTCCTGAGTAGGCTGGATAGTAGACTAGAAGCTAGTTATTGTGACTTGGGGCATGGTCTCGCCAAGTTAGCACGGTACGGCTCCAGAACGATGCTAAGAAAAAATTGCTGCTATCAATTTTAGGCGTTTGGTGCAAGTAATTGTTCGAAAGCATTCATCCGGAGAAAAACCTCTGTGAGGGTTTTGAAAACTAAGCGAATATGACTGGGTTTTTATGCCAAGCTCTTAATACTTTCTAACAACTTTACGAGTTGGCCCACTACTAATAAGCATCTGACTTCGAGAGAGACAAAAGGAAAAAAATCTATGGAGACGCACGACTTGTTGCGCCTAGAAGAACCAACACTGCCCTACGTGCTGTCCCAGGTCATATAGTCCCAGGTCTTGAATTCTTTGCGGTATTACTTTTGCACAGCTATTTTTCGTAGGACCCGGTTCTACCCTATCAGTTCTGCACGGCACATAGCAAAATACCTCGAATAGGAACCGAAAGTTGCCAGCACTCGCTGTTTTTAAAGGGTGTACTGCGCAGAGTACATCAGTCGCTAGGCTAGGTGTAGGAGGATCGATGGTGCAGTGCTTTGGCAAGTCACTGACAAATGTGAAGACGACTGGTTCGATTCTCCAACTCCGTATTCATGTGTAACCCAGGCTGAAACGCACCAGGCTTTCGGTGCGACCATGCGTTTTTGCACTAAACTCGCTGCTCGCTATTAGCAGGAATGATCCCTACGCTGTAGCCTAACACTTGGATCATATTGGCGTGCTTTGATTCTTTCTGGCATACAGGAGGGAGGGCGTCAGCTGGGGTGAAAGTGGCGCATTATAGAGCA